ATCGGGTCTCGCCCCTGGACGAGCAGGGCATCTTCAAGTTCGCCTTCAAGACCAGCAACGGCATCAATGTGCAGACAGCGGGCAGTGCCCTGGAGACCATTGGCATCTTTAGCTACACCTCGCCGGAGGGCGTGCCCATCGAGACGCGCTACATAGCCGATGAGCTCGGCTTCCATGTGGTGGGCAAGCACCTGCCCCGGCCGCCGCCCACGCCCAGCTACATTCTGCGCGCCCTGGAGTACATACGCACCCACAACGAGGATGGCAGCCCGAAGGCCCCAACACTGTGAAACACGTCGTAGCTCTTAATCATTCAGAAGAAGGCTGATAWTACCGTGTAGTAACCTGCTAATATCTACTGTTAGTTCTCGTATAGCTTCTAGATCGTGTCACCTGTTATAAATCATCTGCTCCTTCACACACCTTCATCTAAATATAGCTCCAAAAATATAATCAAATTACACAAAATCTTTTGCGTGTTTCAGTTTTGGTCTGATGACCCCAACAAATCAGCTCTTGTTACGAGATTAGCCATAAAAGCTGTTAATATGATAATCAAATCAGCTTTTTTTTATGTTATTAATATTAATGCTCCTACTCAGAAATCGAAAATGAGATTCTGTTTCGATTGACTTTACAGTTCTTTCCGGGTACTAAAGTAGTCAGTGGTTATAATGGAATGATATGTGGTCTTTGATTGCTTTGAAATATTTGTCAAACTAGTTAGCACCGCGGGCTTATCGCGAGCCATGAAGCGTGTCTTCTAGTCTTAATTATCGGCTAATTCTTATTTTTTGGGGGATAAATCATATTATTAGCAAAGGCTTATCTTGCATACATAATTAGTTTATTTTTAAATTCGCAAATCTCTTGAGTTTTTTTTTTTAAAGCAAAGACTTGAATCGCACAGTAAGAGAGAGGGGAAAAGAGAGAGAGAAAGAGAGAGAGAACATATGGAGAGCGAGTACAGATAGATGGAGAGGGGCATTGGAGTACAGCTAGAGGGAGCGCAACTAGAGGGAGCATTGCTAGAGGGAGCACAAGAAGAATGAACACAGGTAGAAGCAGCATATGAAGAGCGAGCATTGGTTAAACGATACAAGTAGAGCCCTATTAGACTGAGGGGGAAGATTAAACGGCATAGCCGCTCCCCATATTCAGGTATTGCTTTTATTACGTATGACTATAGAATACATTCAAAAAATTTAACATATCTCTTTGCCAACCAATAAAAATAATTTACCATGAGTAATAAAGTTTATCCTCTTGTTTTATATAGCATCCACTTTAGCGTTTCTCTATTTTCTTAGAATTTTCTTTAATTATGGAAATCGAATAAAATATGTCGTAAGAAACAATTCCCTTGTTTAAGACACAAATACCACAAGATTTAAGTTTTATCCGCTTGTTTGATTAATATGTCTTCAACAAATACATYTACATATACACTATATATACATATATATTTAATATTAATTTTTAATTGTACTTTTCACTTTTTAGTAGAATAAACATGCAAATTTACCCTCTAGATTGCTTTCACTATGTATTTTAAATTATTCATTAACTCATTCATTATTCATTATTCAATATCTCACTCAACGCAAGGAGCTAATGAGATTTTAAGATTAGTCTATAGCCTCTTTAAATTGACATTAATCAAACTCATTCACATTGTAAGTTTCCTTTCAGCAAATGGAGAAATGCAGAAGTTAACTAACCTATGTATTCATGAACAACTTTGAGGATTATCACGTCGACCTCAGGTAATCCTGAAACATGTTTTTACTATCCACAAATTCTTTACATTTAATGAGAGACTATATATATATACTATGTCTCCATTATCAAGGTGCACAGGTAATAGTTTTTTTTTTCACTATATTCCCAATTTCTGAAAATATGAATTGCATTTAGTGAGCTGCAACGCCATCAAGTTCATTGCGAGCATCTTTGACCCGCCTCCTTGGCATCGGGCCACAGAGAGAACTCATCAATTTCTCAAGCATTCGCAATGATCATTGTGATGGCCGATGATAATCATACTTTCAGCCGCTGATCATGATGATGAAGATGTTCTTAAAAATAGGAAGACGACGTCGTCGTTCTCCCTGTGGACGACCACGACACTTGTGCAGAGCTCTCGCGCTAATTTGCTTTATGATAGGCATGAAAGATCAGCATAAATATATCTTTTTGGAGACAAATTTCTTGGCTTCCCTTGCGACGAGTCAGTCAGTCTTGCCTTGGCGCTTGTGGGGAACGGTGCGTTGTCTTCTCTTGCAGCAAGTCCTTGGATATCGTTTAACTAGCCGATATCATCAAGTGCAATATCTATCCTATAGATCTCTGCATCTATCTATATATATATTTCCTAGTGCTGTTATTGGAAGTTCCTATCGAGTYTGTTGACAGATGTCGGCGATTGATTTATAGTTATCATATAGTTTGGTGAAWWATGTGGAGTGTTCTTATCGCGTTGACAAATGTGGAAAAAAGTTTTTAGTTTCTCCTGTACCGCTGTGCCGCTCTATGAATCGAATCTACATATATGCAGATGAAGTGATGCTGTGCTATTTATAAAGCCGCCTTAATCTTAATGGATTTTTATACCGTCTACCTATACACATCTATATTTTCAGCCTGCGCTCGCTTTCCAAAATGTTCTGAAAGAAAACTAAAAATTAATTAATGGCTTGTTATTTTTAAAAGACAAAAAAAAAAAAGAAAGGAAAAGCTGGGAAATCAAGTTTCGAGTGTGCAAAGGTGGCAAACAAAATAGTTTCGATCGAACACATCTACATATATAATACTAGATTATAATCCGAGGCGTCAAAATGCCGCGAGCACATTTTGCTTTATGTCTGCTCGGCTGCATTGCACTCTCTGGAGGTAAGTGGGCGTAAGCCTAGGCAAATATCCATCATAAAGATCTCAAATATGACAGCTCGAAAGCCTTTCCGCTGTACATTTCTTCGCACAGTGATAAATAATTTAGGTATATTTTGAAATTTATATGAAAGTGTGGCCAGGGAAACTTGTAACCTTTTCCTAATGGCTCATAAAGATATCCACATGTGACCATAAAAACCATTTGCTCTAACATTCATGAGTAAGAACCGAATACACGAGGTTAGTCACAGAAGATGTCCGAACTATATTTTATTATGCCATTGGTTCTCTACTATAAAGTCGTAAATTGTTCTTACCCCGCTCGTGGTTGTATAGATATACATATCTCTATATAATATATATCTATATATATTTAGATATCTGTTCACCTTTTTTATGATATCGTGATACATATAGGTGAGATCTAGTTCAACATATTGATGATTCATGGCCAGTTTGTCGCTGGCCCATACGTCTTTAGCGTTATGAGAGTCCCCTTAGCCCAACAAATAGGTCTCTCCACTTAATTACCGGCCGGAATTTACAAACTATAAACATAAATGCGCATCGTAAATTTCAGTGGAGATAAAAATAAACAGAAGCATAATAAAAATTGTTTTAGCAAAGCTTGGGAAGAGCTCTTCGTAATGCTCTATAAAGAAATTTGTAGAACTATCAGAGCGATCGTTGAGCTAATAGTTTGACTATCATATTAATATTCAAATCATATAATTTAATAATAATTTCCATAAGAAGTCTATTTAACTATCAGCGCGATGGCTATGCTAATAGCTTGAGCTCGTTTTGATATTAAAGTCATGAGACTTACTCGAATTTTGGTAATCGTCGACAGTTGCGCACGCTGTCTATGAGGACTGCAAGACGCCGCCGCCGGTGGATCATGCTCGGGCTGAGCTGTACGAGGACGGGGACATCAACACGGCCGTTTACAGCTGCTCTAGAGGCTATGTGATTGAGGGCCCCACTGAGCTGATTTGCAATGTGACAACGGAGGAGTGGCAGGGCGATCCGCCCTACTGCTCGCCAATATTCCACGATGACGAATACTACGACGAATACGAAACGATCGATGAGAAGGATCTGGAAAACGATTCAGCTGAGGGTGAGGATCCCGTGGCGCCACCACCGCCACCGCCACCAGTAGAGAAGGCGGAGCAAGAGCAGCTAGAGGAGCTGGAGGCGATAGATGAGGACGACGAGGATGAGGAGGACGAGGAGGCATCATTGACGCCGCAACGGCAACCTCAGCCATTGGCTGAAGTGGAGGCCATTGGTGAGTCAACGGCTCCTGCCCAAGCCCCAGCTGGACTCGAGCCAACAATTGTGGTGCACGTGGACGAGCCACAGCCAGAAGAAGCGGTGCAACCAGAGCCAGAGCTGCAGGCAGAGCCAAAAGCAGAAGTTCATCCTGTTGCCGGAGGTGCTGCTCCTGTTACCGATATCAATATTGTCGTAGAGCCTACGGAGGATCCCTTCACACCACGTCTCCTGGACGAGAACTGCGGCGAGGATCGCGGAGGCTGTGCCCACAAGTGTGAGCGCCTGCTCTTCCCTGGCGAGAACGAGCCAAGACTGAAGTGCAGCTGCAACGAGGGCTACACGCTGGATCCCCAGGATTATGCAACCTGTCATGGTGGGTCACTATCTCCCCCTCCCTCTCGCCCCCCTTGTCTACATTGTGTACTTCTCCCTTGCAGACATCGATGAGTGCTTGGAGTCGAATGGCGGCTGTACCGAGATCTGCAATAATCTGCCCGGCACGCATGAGTGCGCCTGCAGGAAGGGCTACCAGATCAAAGAGTCCGACGGCAGCTGCGAGGGTGAGTGAATACCAAGACTACCATTGCCCAGAGTCTCAGCATCTTTCTCCTCAGATATCGACGAGTGCGCACAGCCGGAGGTGAAGGCGGAGTGCAATAATGCCTGTGAGAATACGCCGGGCTCCTATCGCTGTGTTATACCCCTGGACACCAAGCAGGAGGCTGTGGAGGAGCCAGAGGAGACGGAGCAGGGCAAGCCTGTTGAGGAGCCAGCTGTGCAGAAGCCCAGCTGCAATGCAGGATTCGTGCTCTCGCAGGATGGCAAGGAGTGCCAGGACATCAATGAGTGCGAGATCGTCGTGGAGGACAATGAGAACGCGGATCATGTGCCGCATCGCATCTGCCAGCAGCTGTGCGAGAATACGATTGGCTCCTATCGCTGCAGCTGCCGCGAGGGCTTCCACCTGCAGGAGGACGGCAGCAGCTGCGTGCGCGATGGCTGCGACGACTTGGACAATCCGCAGCTGAGTCGCAGGCGCTGTGCCCATGAGTGCGAGGATCTGCCCAGTGGCGGCTACGCTTGCCGCTGCCCCGATGGCTATAGGCTGGCCGAGGATNGGATTATGCAACCTGTCATGGTGGGTCACTATCTCCCCCTCCCTCTCGCCCCCCTTGTCTACATTGTGTACTTCTCCCTTGCAGACATCGATGAGTGCTTGGAGTCGAATGGCGGCTGTACCGAGATCTGCAATAATCTGCCCGGCACGCATGAGTGCGCCTGCAGGAAGGGCTACCAGATCAAAGAGTCCGACGGCAGCTGCGAGGGTGAGTGAATACCAAGGCTACCATTGCCCAGAGTCTCAGCATCTTTCTCCTCAGATATCGACGAGTGCGCACAGCCGGAGGTGAAGGCGGAGTGCAATAATGCCTGTGAGAATACGCCGGGCTCCTATCGCTGTGTTATACCCCTGGACACCAAGCAGGAGGCTGTGGAGGAGCCAGAGGAGACGGAGCAGGGCAAGCCTGTTGAGGAGCCAGCTGTGCAGAAGCCCAGCTGCAATGCAGGATTCGTGCTCTCGCAGGATGGCAAGGAGTGCCAGGACATCAATGAGTGCGAGATCGTCGTGGAGGACAATGAGAACGCGGATCATGTGCCGCATCGCATCTGCCAGCAGCTGTGCGAGAATACGATTGGCTCCTATCGCTGCAGCTGCCGCGAGGGCTTCCACCTGCAGGAGGACGGCAGCAGCTGCGTGCGCGATGGCTGCGACGACTTGGACAATCCGCAGCTGAGTCGCAGGCGCTGTGCCCATGAGTGCGAGGATCTGCCCAGTGGCGGCTACGCTTGCCGCTGCCCCGATGGCTATAGGCTGGCCGAGGATCTGCACAGCTGCGAGGTGCTGGAGACGGTGTGCAGCCGGGAGCAGGGGCACGAGCGCTGCCGGCCGGGCAGCTGCGTGGCCAACGAGGCCAACGGCACCTTCAGCTGCCTCTGYCCGCCGGGCTATGCCAGCGACGTGTWCAGCTGCCAGGATCTGGACGAGTGTGCCCTGGGCACGCACAAGTGCAGCCACGACTGCTTCAACACGGCCGGCGGCTATCAGTGCCTGTGCCCGCGCGGCATGTCGCTGCAGGAGCCGGAGGGCCATACCTGCGTGGCGCCCGACCCCTGCGCCTTCAACAACAACGGCTGCGAGCAGCTCTGCCTGAGCGCCGACGGCGGCGCCTGCACCTGCAGCAAGGGCTACGTCCTCAGCGCCGACCAGAAGAGCTGCCAGGATGTGGACGAGTGCGCCGTSAACAATGGCAACTGCCAGCAGCTCTGCCGCAACCTGCCAGGTGCGTATGAGTGTGTGTGTGCCGCCGGCTACGAGCCCCTCCAGGCGGAGGGCCTCGTTGGCTACTGCTTCGACATTGACGAATGCGCCAGCAACACGCACAGCTGCGCCTCGAGCATGCGTTGCGAGAACCTCAATGGCTCCTACACCTGCCTCTGCGAGCCAGGCTATGCCTTGGGCATCCCAGCTCAATCATCATTAACAACTACATCTGCATCATCATCTGCATCAATTGCTTTGCCCGCTTGCTTGGACATTGACGAGTGCTCCATGTCCAATGCCAACTGCTCGCATTTCTGCATCAATCTGCCGGGCAGCTTTCAGTGCGCCTGTCCTCTGGGCTTCAGCCTGGCGGCGGATGGCCGCAGCTGCCAGGATGACGACGAGTGCCAGCTGGAGAATGGACAGTGCTCGCAGCTCTGCTTGAATCAGCCTGGGGGCTT